ACGACGCAGGTTTTGTGTTCTTTGAAATGTCAAGCCTGCAAATAGGGAACTGCGTCTGGTTGTGATTAGCAAGATGTGATTCCGGATATACAATTTCTGATGATACCCCTCACGGCTCCCATCATGGGTGCGAGTCACGGTGGAAGTGTGCAGATCCAAACTGACTGCATTGCATAGTGTAGTTTTAGGTCCATTCAGGGGTCCCCACGGTAGTTCCCAGGGTGTAATTTGTGACTTCAGTGCTTTTGAGGATTCTACCTGCCATGCTCAGATCTGATAATCTGGGATTGATGTGCCTTCAAAAAAGAAAAAACTATAGCAGCCCTTCCCTTTGTTTGGGAGTCTCTTATGAATCTGAGCCAAACTGTACTGGCGCTGTGTGCATCACGCAACCAAAAAAGACTCCCGAAACACCAGAATCCTTAACGACAGGGTTGCTGCCAAAACGCAGTTTACTGTGCAAGTCAGCAGCTTTCTCCAAAGCAAAGCCAGTGCTTGTTTGCAGTCGCGAAGGGGGGCGCGATAGGAGGCTGAAAAAGGTAACTTTATTGGATAATATTGGATAACCCTCTAATGAGAATCAACCTCCTATTTGACTGTGAGCAAGTTCACACAGTACCAGTAAGCTGTAATGTTCTTATCAACGGCCACTTTTAAGGTCCACAACGGAACCTGCGTGTGCAAACGGTGCACAATGGTGGGCTGAAAGCTTGGCTCCTCTGGAAGAACACCAAGAGCTTGCCTTCGCTGACACATCCGACACATCCGTGGCCCTTTGGCCTCTGCCGCTTGCACCAATGATTCAAAAGCTCTCGGGTCTGCTGCGATCGCAGCTCTAGCATCCTCGGTGCAATGCTCATGGGAGCTACGTCCGCAAACCCAAAGAGCAGGCCCGTCGTATTACTGCGTGTGTGATCCTCCTTACTGCGCGGTGACATGTGCCGGTGATCAGAAGCAAAGGAAAAAATCATGGTCGGACATGGTCGATGCTTTTCTGCTCATGGATTAGCATTAGCAACTGTTCTGCATCAACTTAGCAACCCACACGACACCTCGCCAACTTGTAGAACGCTGAGGCAATATTGATGCTGTTGAACTCTGCCAGTGACCTCCAAAGCTTAAGGGGTGGATTGAACTAACTTCTTCATCGTCTCAGCCTCTCAGCCTGACAATTCACATCAATTCACGTCAAATTAGGTCAAAGTCAATTTCAAGTCATGGTACAGCCGGGGGCCCGCCTTGCGCACAGCTCCAAGATGTCTTCTGCTTACTACAGGCCAGCTAGTTGCCTGCCAATCAGTTTCTACATGTCGCTCAGCACATTCGAAGTCAGGCAGACTCCTGTTGATGTGAACATTGCTCCGCATCCGCGAGGCACTCTGCTGCGTTCGGACACGTTGAGCTGCCTGCGCAGCTTGGAGAAACATGGTCTGACGGAGAATTGACTCTCCAAAACAAGTGCACGTCCATCAGTGGGGCAGCGGCCTTCTGCCAAAGAACCAGCATCACTGCTGCTCCTGGTTGCGTGAATATTTCTATAATGTGTTCTATGATGCTACGCAGTTTGGTTGTTGTATTTCTTTTGCATGAGAGCGCCCAAATGCCCAATCTGAGATTGCAATCCATGACAGGCAACAACGGAAAAAGAAAAAACAACAAAAATTGATGACTGATACCACTACAATGTGTATATATATATATATTTATATACGTTACCTGTTCCCTTGACAAAGGCTCATGATTTCTGATAGTCGCAGGGAAGATTTGAACAATTTTGAACCATTTGTCAGCTAAAACTCAACAGCCGCTGAACGTTCTGAACCCTGGACGGTCTTTGATTCAATTGGTATGACTGCAATGATGTTGTGCAAACAATGCCCAACACACTCAGCACCTCCCCTGGAAGGCACTTGTTCAAATGATCCGTGTCCAAGGCGGTACCTGGCTGGTGGATCTCTTCTGATACTCTGCTTACATTCAAGATCCAATCACTAACTTGTTGAATGCAACTCTAGCAGCATGAGTGTCGCTTGGGCTGCAGCAAATGAGGATGCGCTGGTCCATGTGGCGAAGATGCTGGTGCGAACATCTGGCGCCCTTCTATGAGAACATGGTCGCCGAAACCGGTCAACATCCGAAGACTGAGTAGGGCGTTGCTGGTGCCTAGGCCATCATCACGGTTGTGGTTTGATGCGGTTCTTGTCAAGCTTTCGGGTCCTCGGGTGACATGGCACGGGTGTGGCTCAAGTAGGAAGTGCATGTGTGAAAATATGTGGAAACGGCGTGCATATACATGTATTGTATTGTAAGTAAAAGTAAAATATACAGTATGTCAGTATGTCTCCATTGTCTTGGCATTTTCGGTGAGCCTTTGAGCCAAGGAATCCGTTACTCGGAAGGCCAAGCCAGCAGGAAGATATCTCCGAAAGCCACCAGTGCATCACCGTGTCTTTCCTTCCCGGGTTCTTCCAAAGCAAAAATGCTTACAGTAGATCGTCGCCAGCTTACGGTTCTCTTGTGTTGGCCTCAGGCCTCCAGAACTGCCAGGGGTACAGCCGGCAAAGCTCGGGCTGTAGCAAGGCCTTTTCTCGGGCTGTTCTCACATTGCCACTCTTACATGGCGGACCCGACCCGGAAGACCAACGTACGCCACTGATTCCTCTGGTTTCAGAAGGCTGGGCTGAAGAAGTGAGTCAACCAAATAGTGCTGGCCTCCAACCTACTAGCGATGGCCTCCAACCTGCGATGGCCTCGAACATAATAACAATGGCCTCCAACCTAAGAGCGATGGCCTCCAAACTACTAGCCATTGCCTCCAACCCAATAGTAATGGTTTCAACATACTGAAAAAATGAGTCAACCTAATAGTGATGGCCTTCAACCTACTAGCGATGGCCTC